TAGAAAAAAAAAAAAAAACACCAAGTGGCCGTAGAGTTATTTACAACACAAAAATTAGCAAATGCCACAGACCAGGGCTTTTTTCCCCAGCCAGCCAGTTGTTAAACATTTACGAACACACCACAGCCCCTGCCCACAGCATGCCGAATATGGCCTTGATCGAGACAGACAGAAACCAGTGTAGGGCCAGAAGTGGCTGCCAGCTGCAGTGGACAGAGCCAGGCTGCCTTGACTGAGTCCTGGGTTCTAGTCCAGGCTGGGGATCTGATTTAGTACATTACCTCGAAGTATGGGGAAAGCCTATCCATTAGGCTAGTGGCTCATGAAAATGTGTAATTTCTTTTAAATTCGAAGAAGAAAATGAGAATAATAATGACTATATAACTATGAATATGCCCTGAATTATATTTGTGTTTATACCAATACGGTATAATATATTGTACCAAAATATTGTTTGTACCAATATTTAGGACCAATACGGTCCTAAAATATAATTTTTACTGTTTTATTTTTTGAGGGAGGGGTGCATGGGCCCTTTTTAGTCAGGGGTTAGGGCTGCCAGGCTGGAATCCAGGCTGTCACCATCCTGACGAGCGTGCGCAGTTAGTGTTACTGCTAGAAGCTTAGGAATTGCCTCAGTTCTCGTGAATGATTTTCCCCCTCCCAGTTGGAATATCATGCAGCCATAAAAATAAGATGTAAAAGATCAATTGCACTGGGGAGAGCTCAGGAGATGGTGTGTGCATTTCAGTCTTGGTGCTAAGCAACCCATGATTACCTTGGTGGGGAACTGGCTGGGATGATGGCAGGAAGGGAAGAGGGAGAAGAAAGGAAAACAGGTAATGTGTTATGCTGATGGGATGCAGCATAGGCTTCATTTTCCTTTTTCAATCCTAGGCAACATTTAATTCCTTTTACATAGTTATTCATTCCTTTTTCTCTCTATACCCGCACATTTCCCACCTCTGTAAGGCAACCATTCTAATATGTATTTTTTATTCCAAAATGAATATTGTTTTGCATGCTGGTATTTTTAATATGTTTAATATGATATTGAACTAATATATCCTTCTGGCTCTTATGTTTGCATGAAGGCCTGTGTTTTTAAGATCTCTCCATGTTACCGTGTGGATTCACACTCACTACCTCTTTGTCCTTCCAGCGACGGGCACTGAGTGTCCAAGTGTTCTAGAGGGAGCCTTGAACGTCCCCAAGCATTAATAAAGTTGTTTAGGTTGTTGCTGGAAAAACTGAAAGATCAAAGAAATGCTAAACGTGCCCCAGCCCTGAACCAAATTCCTTAAACCCTCATATAAACTCTATAACTCCACCACCTCATTATGGACAGACACATCTCCCTTCTTGCTGTCCGTCATTTCCCTGACCAATGCTTTGGCTGGATACAGATCACCCCTGTGCTTTGTGCTTATTTCTTTGGAATTCCAACCTGCCCTATCTCGTGATGGTTTGGGGCAGTCTTGAGCGAACTCCCCAGCAAATGCTGGGTGGGCTAGACAGACCACTCAGATTTGCTACCAATTCTCTTCCACCACAGACAATGTTACACAGGTCCAGAAGGGTTTAGATCTGGAGGAATGTTTCTTTAAGATAAACACCAGGGACAAGGTTGCAGACTCAGTAGATGCACGTGTTTTTTTCCAGGCAGCTGAAGCAGTCTAGACTCTCCCTGGCTCCCATATTGTCCCTGCCCTTTGGTACCATCTAGTTTTCTAATGTTTGTCAGTTTAATAAGGATACAATGAGATCTCATTGTCATTTCAGTCTGCAGCTCCCTGATGACCAATGATTTTAAATGTGTCTTCACGAACTAATGTGTTAGTTTTAGGTATTTCCTCCTCTGAAAATGACAATGCCACCCTTGTCGTGTATTAATTCCCCCAAGTGTCCATGGGTCTGCCTCTGAGCACTCCGTTCTGTTCCACTGATCTCCTTTCTTATCCCTGAACAGACACCACGTTGCATTTACCACGCTGGCCTTGTAATATCTTTATGTCTAGAGGTCAAGTCTTCCTTCTATGCCCTTTTTTTTTTTGATACAGGGTCTAGCTCTGTCACCCAGGCTAGAGTGCAGTGGCACAATCTTGACTCTCCCTGCAACCCCCGCCTCCGGTGTGCCCTCTTTCATGAAGATTGACTTAGCTCTTTGAGGTCTACATACCTCCATGTCAATCTTAGAAGTTTTTGGAGAATCAAAAAAAGATAAAATCAATCAGAATATTTAATGTTTCTTTTCTTTTATTTTATTGTGAAGACAGGGTCTTGCTATGTTGCCCAGGCTGTTCTGAAACTCCTGGGCTCAAGCAATCCTCCTGCTTCAGCCTCCCAAAGTGCTGGCATTAGAAGTGTGAGCCACCATGCCCGCCCCAGAATCGTTATTGTCATTGCATTAAATTTATTAATTAATGAAGGATTGATACCTTTTAATGTTAAGTTGTCTCGCTGACAGCATGGGGCAAAGAAGTCTTGTTTCCTGTGTATTTATGATGTAATGAAAAAATACAAGGAAGGAAGACATTCGGGCAGAACCGAGAACCAGGCAGGGGCCATGGCAGAAGGGACCCTCTCCGTGCCCAGGACCTCATGAGACTATGGCTAAGGCAAAGCTCTGGCTGAGTCACATTCATTCTGGGCCAGGCGGGCCAGGCAGTGGGCATTCCTTGCAGACACTGTCTCATTTATTCATTTCCTTCATCACCTTGTGGGGCAGCTACTGGCATTTCTGTTTTACAGGCTCAGTAGGTAAAGAATTTACCCAAGACAAGTTGCAAAGGTAGAATCTGAAACTGGTGAACTGAGGCCAGGGTCTGCGCTCCCACCTGTGATGATGGCCCATCACCTAGGTTGCTACTGTCGCTGTGCAATGGCGGAGGAACTCCATCCATCCGCTCTGGGCTTTGGGGTGTATTCTCACCGTAGACCCCTTGGCCTTATGGGTGCTCAGCCTGGCACTTGGAGTGCTTCTGCAGGAACCCAGGCAAAAGGTGATAAGGGCCTCCAGTCCCTTGCCCCCTGACTAGCCCCAGGGTGGAGAGCCAGCCAGAAAAGCAGTACATCCCCAGTGCTAGCCACACCTCCTTATCTGCCCTCTCCATCTGAGCCAGGAAGCTCAGCCATCAGGGCTTGTGGTCTTGTTGGTCCCACATCCCACGGACAAGTTTGGGAAACTCTGCAACCCGGGATTTCCCTTGAGACTGGAGGTTGGGACCACATGATAATTCTCCTTTTTCCTTCTTGTTTTTCCTCCTTTTCCTCCTCTCCTCCTCTCCCCTCCTCCTCTTCCCCTTCCTCCTCCCTCCTCTTCCTCCTCTCCTTCCTCCTTCTCCTCCTCCTCTCTCCTCTTTCTCCTCCTTCTCCTCCTCCTCCCCCCTTCTCCTTCCCTCCTTCTCCTCTTCCTCTTTCTCCTCTTTCTCCTCCTCCTCCTCCTTTTTTTTAGAAACATGGTCTCGATTTGTCACCCAGGAGTTCAGTTGAATCGTCACAGCCCACTGCAGTCTTGAACTATTGGGCTCCAGTGGACTTCCTGCTTCCTCCTCCAAGTAGCTACCATGCCTAGATACTTTTTTACAATTATTTTTTGGAGATGGGGGGTCTCGCTGTGTTGCCCAAGTTGATCTTGAGCCCCTGGGCTCAAGCAGTCCTGTTGCCTCAGCCTCCCAAAGTGCTAGGACTACAGGTGTGAGCCACCAAGCATAGTCAAGGACCAGGTGATAATCCTTAAACTCAGGGACTGCTCTGGGAGGAGGAATTGGCAACCCAGGGAGGCCTGGCCCCGGCTTCAGCCCAGCCCATGGAGTGACCTTAGTTGGGCAGGTGGCGGGGCCTGTCGGGGCCTCCGCTTCCTCATGCCATTACCCTTGGCTGGTCTTTCTTTAAATCAAGGGGGGCTCGGGGAGCTGACTAACTCCTGCTGAGTTCAGTGCTGGGCACTTTATTTCTGTCACTTCATTTAATGCTGTCAGGATGAGGTGAGGACTTTATAATTCCCATTTTATAGATGGGGAAACTAAGGCTCAGAGAGATGATGTGACATGCCCAGGATCACACAGCTCTTAAGTAGCCGAGCCAGGAGTTAAGCCCATACCCATCAGATGGTGGAGCAGCCATTTCTCAGGTTACTCACCCTGAGACTTTGAGATAAGGGAGTCAAGACCTTCCGCGTGGGAAACAGATGTCTGCGAAGATAAGCCCCAAAACACACCAAGTTTGTCTACCAGAACGGCTTCTGTGGCTCAACTGATGCAATGTCGACACCCCAGATTTCCCTTCCAGGGACACAGCGACTTGCATAAAGCGAGGGCCGCCTTCCTGCCTTTCAGCTGCTTGCGGGCTGGGAGGGAAGCAAAGTGCGTCCACGTGCAGTCAGCATCAGCACTGGCACCTGGGCGGGGAGGTGGGCTGCAGCCTGCAGCTTCAGGGGCTATTGGGGGAGGCCTAACAGTGGCAATAACTTCTCACCAGCAGACAGGCTTGATGGTCCGCAGAGCTCCCAGGAGGGGTGTGGGGGCCGGGTAGGGAGGATGGTTGGTGAGTTGTGGTTAGAGTGAGGCTCCAGGGAGGCGGATGATGTCAACACGCACCACTCCCCATGTGTAGGGGGTCGCTGGAGCTGGGGTGGGGCCGCCATCTCTGCACCTCTCTGCCCCCATTCTCCCTTAGTGTCGGCCTGTCTCTTAAGTCTCTCTCTCCGTCTCTCCATCTCTGTATCTCTACCCCCATTTCTGCTATCTCTGCCTCTTTTTGCTTCCTACTGAGAAACCTGCATGTGATTGTGACATGGAGGCCCAGCTGCCAGAAGCGCCCTACCCAACTTAGGTCTTGCCTGAGACACCCCCTTAGCTCAGGGCTCTGCCAGGCTGGTGCCAAACTCATACATCCACTCATTCAGCCAACAAGTATTTATTCAGGGTTTCCACAAGCCAAGCACTGTGCTTGGCCTGGGCTGGAACAGTGAGTGAGGCTGCCCAGGTCCTTGTTGTCTGGGAGCTCAGGTTCTAGCGGCAATGCCCAGCCCCTGCTCAGGGAGCCCTAAACCCCATCCTCACCCCTAGCCCCACAGGCTGAATGAATGGGAGCACCCCCAGGTATGCTAAGCCCTAGATCGGTTTGCCTTCTACCTCTATGATGACAGCAGGTCAGAGGTTGGGCCACCCACGTGGCAGAGTGGGGAGTGGAGGGTTTGCCCGAGGTAGCTCGCCCACTCAGTGTTCTCAGAAATGCAGTGTCCCTGGACACCTGCAGGGCTGCCAGCACCCTGAACATGCTGGGGTCTCTTCAAGAAGGGTGGGCTCTGATGGGCAGAGACCAGGGGCAGACTGGGTAGGAGGATCAACTCCTACCCACCAAAACTAACCCCCAATACCTGAGGGCACGCTGGCCTCCTGAATGCCCCTCAAGTTTACAGGCATGCAGAGGCAGAGTTGTGGGAGGCCAGTGACAAGGAGGAGGAGGGGAGAGGCTGGGGGCTCCTTCCAGGGCTACACAAGCCACAGACTCTCTTCCCTTGCTGGGACCAGAAGGTAGGTGAGGGCTTTGCAATGAGGGCAGGGCATGGAGGTGACTGTCACTCTTTGCTGGCAGGGGGTCTCAGGACTACAGGAACTCTAGACCCCTGCAAACATGCTTACATGGACTCTCATGTGGAACCTGTAGTTGGATCTGGATGGGACATCTGAAGCCACGTGGTCCAACCTGGTCCTCTCCCTCCCCAGCCACATTATACAGGGAAAGGAACTGGCCCAGAGGGAGGCGTGGGGCTACCCGAGGTCACACAGCAAGTCAGAACTGAGTCCAGATTGCAGGGCTGTGCCTTCCTATTCTTGAGACGCAGAGTGGGCCTGGTCCAGTCGTGCAGTAGAGGAGGAGACTGTGGTGCTCTGACTTGGGAGGTAGAGGACGGTGAACCAGCAGCAGATGAAGACACCTGTCAGGGAGGAGAGGCCTTGGTGAGCCTGGGGAGGGGTAGGCAGGGAGTGGGACAACCTGGGCTGGTGGCTGCTGAGAGGGAGGAGACTCACCGTAACTACTCAAGAACTACTGGAAAAGTCAGGCAAAAATGCAACCATTACACAATCACTTCAAAAATGAAATGAAAAAGAACCAAATAGAAATCTTGGAAATGAAAAACAGAGACCTTCAAAGAACATATCTACCTATACCTATTACAGAAAAGAAAGAGCAAAATTGAGGAATTTCCAGACATACAAAACAACCATCATTCCTTCTGTAATATAAAGGATTATTAAAGGAGGCACTCCAGCAAGAGGAAAAGGGAAAGTGTGGGGCACAAGAAATTATCGTTAAGTACAGAACATGACTTAGAAAAACTCTGTGTTTCAAGGAAATCTATAACCAAAACTCTATATACAAGAAAAATATTGAGAAGAGTTCAATGGGCAATTCAAGGTACCAAGGGCTCTGTTGTATTGGGGAGGAAGGGAGAAATGCAGAACAACTCAGACCCAGTGGAAATGAACTCAGTAGAGTGAAGTGTGCAGGCTTACATATTAAGGTAAAGAATAGTGATGTCATCTATAGTTTCAAGGTGCCTTTCTTCCCAACCATCAGCCCCTGGGATTCTCCAGGCACGGACTCATGATTCTCCAGCTGGAGACAGCTTCAGATGGCCATACGGTCATAATTTCTATTATTATTAATATAGTTCCTAGGTGTTGAAGACCTAGTTGTTCCCACATATGCGTTGCCATTGTTCATCATGCAATCTGTCAGGCCAGGTGTGATGGCTCATATTTGTAATCCCAGCACTTCTGGAGGTTGAGGCTAGTGGATCACCTGAGGTCAGGAGTTTGAGACCAGCCTGACCAATATGGTAAAACCCCATTTCTACTGAAAATACAAAAATTAGCTGGGTGTAGTGGCATACGCCTGTAGTCCCAGCTACTAGGGAGGCTGAGACAGGAGAGTTGCTTGAACCCAGGAGGTGAAGGTTGCAGTGAGCCAAGATCATGCCACTGCACTGTAGCCTGGGTGACTGAGCAAGACTCCATCTCAAATAAATAAACAAATACATCTGGTGAGATAAGTATGGGATTTTCCCAGTTTTGAGATGAATGAGGATGGGAGGAGCTGAGTGACTTGCTGGTGATGGATGGGGCTAGGATTTGGACCCAGGGTTGCCTGGTCCCAGTCACTAAGCCCAGTCTCATGGGGCACTGGGAGCCAGCCCTGCTCTTGGGGGCTTGTACCCACTGCATCTAGGAGGCCTGGGTTTCTAGTGACTCCTCTGGACGGGGTGAGTCTCATCACTCCCATCTTGGCTGTTTCTCTCGCCCTCGGGCTGTGATGCCTCTCTGAGCTGTAGATGTAAGAAGCAAAGAGAACACATACAAACTACAGCCCATGCACTGCTCTTACTCCTTTGCTGGCATCTCAGAGGAAGGGCCCTGTGGGGGCCGGTAACAAACATAGCAAGCATTTCCTTCCTTCCATAGATCCCTGGAGATCCCGTCGATGTCAGGCGGACATCAGATCCCATGACTCTGCCCTTCTGGTCACAGCTAATTGGACCAGAGATGGACAATAGACACCTGACTTGCCAGGTCATGTAGGGTTATGGCAGCCATGTTGGATAACCATTTGGGGTCATAGTAAAGGGTGAGTGGAGAGAGAATGAAGGAGTTTCCATGGACACTAGGTGAGAGACTCCACAGCTCCAGAAAAAAGATGGAGAACGTATCTGCTTTGGTTTGGATAGCTTTTTCTGATTCTGGTAGCAGCTCCCATGAGGGCAGCTGATATGTCTGGGATGTTGGTTCCCTCCGAGTCTCATGTTGAATTGCGATTCCCGACATTGGAGGTGGGGCCTGGTGGGAGGTGCCTGGATCATGGGGGCGGGTCCTCATGAATGGCTTAGCACCGTACCCTCGGTGATGGGTGAGCACTTGCTGGGAGTTCATGCAAGATCTCGTCGTTTAAAACAGCACGGTGCCTCCCCACTCCCTTGCTCCCACTCTCACCATGGCTCCCCTTTATCTTTTGCCATGATTGGAAGCTTCCTGAGGCCTCACCATGACACAAATGGACTAATACAGCAGCCACACTTTGCTGCCCTGGATCCTTGCTCTGAATATTTGAAATCAACATCCTTGCCTTGCGCTAGCCTGAGCAGAGTCCTGTGTCTTGCAAACCACCCTCTCCTCCACCTCCCAACACCTCCTGGGACAGACAACACAGCCCATCACCTCCCTGGCGCAGGAGCCTCACCTTGCAAGGAGTTGAAGAGTGTGAAGATGTAGACAGTGGAGAGGCCCAGGGGGGTGAGGATGGCCAACCCCCACGTCACACCCACCAGGCTCGAGAGGCCCAGCAAGGTGAGCACCTTCTTCCGGTTCTGCCCCCGCTCCTTGACCGCTGTAGCACTCGACAGGGTGAAGATCTTCCAGGTCACCAGGGCCAGGACCACCATGCCAAAGAGGAAGGTGATGAGGAAGTAGCCGTGGACGGTGATATAGAGGGCATACGTGGCCGTCCCGTCACGGAACCAGCATCTGGAGGACGGGGGCAGCAGTGGTGGGACTGGGAGAGGTGCCTCTGGCCAGCAAGCCCAGGAAGTCGTCTGGCTGAGCTTTTCCATCTGTGAAGGTGCCTCTCCCATTTCCACCCATCGATCCCCATTCTCCCACTGCAGAGGGGCCATTATCAGGCTCCTGTCTGGTGTCTCTTTAATGCCAATGTGACCTCAAAGGCCTGTTTCGTTGGCACCATATGATGTACAAAAACTGAATTAGTGGCTGCCTTTAAAATCAGAAGATTTGATATAAACACCCAGATTTTCTGCTTCTCCTAGAAAACCATACAACTGGCAGCTCTGTGGATGCCCTCCTGAAGGACGGTAACTGGCCGCCCACTAGATGGGTCTGTGACTGCCAGTCCACTGCAGTCACCACCTGGCCCAATGCCTGCACGTATGTGACCTCTCTGGCTCCTGGGGCCCCCGCTTTTGAGGCCCTGGGGACAGGTCCAAGGCCTCGCCAGCTCCTCCTAGCACAGAGCCATAGGCCCAGTGGTAGGTGCCCCATGGACCCCAAGGTGGCAGTCTAGAAACTCAATTCCGCTCCATTGCCCCCTGCACTGCAGGGCAAAGCGCCTTAGAGAGCATGTTGATCCATTCCCCCATGCTGCAGATGAGGAGATTGAGGCTCTGGGAGAGACCCGGCCTGCCAAGGTCACATGCACAGCAGGCAGGGCAGAGCCCGGACTAGACCTAGGCTGCTGGGAATCACTGGGCAGGTGGTGGTCTGAACAAGGGCAGCTGGCTGGGCTGCAGTGGGGGCTGAAATCCAACACACCCTCCCCTCTCCAGGCTGTGCACCCAGCATGCGGACGGGGTGACCTTCTTCACTTTGCCTTAAGCTGCCATATGGGCTGGTGTTGGCCAGGCTCGAGTAAGGCACCCTACCTCCTGGTCCAGTTCTCCCTCTCCTTTCTCAGGCTCCCTCTCTCATTTCACTTCCTCTCTCTCTCTGTCTCTCTCTCTCTCTCTCTTGGCTTCAGTCTACTCCTCTGTGCCATGAGCTGGCTGGATCTGAGGATTCTTCTGGTCTTGACATATTTGGTCTCTTTTCCTAGAAATCCCTCCTCTCCCCACCTCCCCCCAGCCCCAGTATGTGAAGCCGGGGAACTGGCATCACCCCGGCTCCCACAGCTGCCACTCACAGCTCCAGAGAGGTGCGGTTCTCCCTGTCTCGGATGGTGTGGAGGCCGTAGCTGTTGGCACTCCCAGTGCCGATGACCATCAGGGCAGGCAGGCCTGGGCACAAGGGGAAGTGGCATGGCATCACGGGGGCTCGCTGGCACGTCCTCCTCCACATCCCCTCCAGATGCCCATCCCTCCAGCTCTGGGAACCCCTCCTCTCTCTCCCCAAGGCTATTTCCCTCCGCACCCTTGGGGCCAGCCATCTATTCTGCCTGTCCAGGCAGCACCTACCCCAGCCCACCAGGCTCAGCTTCAGGAAGTAGTGCCCGAAGTAGGTGTTGAAGACCCTGACGGCGAGCAGGTAGAGGTGGAAGGCTTCCAGGCCCATCCAGGTGAAGACACAGAGCAGGAAGTAGTGGTAGACGGCCCCTCGGGCCCAGCAGGCTGTATCAGAGCCCTTCGAGCCACTCCCCACAGTGATCAAGAAGGCCAGATTCAGCAGGAACAGGCTGCCACTCAGGGCCACATGGATCTTAGGGGCATCTTCTGACTTGAACCTCTGCCGGGAAAGCCTGGAGCGAGAAATGAGAGGCCCCAAGGGGCCGCAGCTGCCATGGGAGCTCCCACGGGGCACTCAGGCCTGTCCACCCCAACAGCCCATGGCTGTCCACCCCCAGCACCAGCTCCTGCCTGCTCAGGCAGCTTCCAGCCCTGCCGGCAGCCAGAGTGGGAGCGTCCTGAGGCTCTAGTCCAGGAGCCTCCCATGGCCACGGGGCTCTGTGGATTCCGGATCCTGTCCACCTCATCCTTGATCAATGTCAGGCAGGAGGATAGGGAAAATGAGGCAGAAGAATAGCGAGGGGAATTAAAAGTTGGACAAAGGGCAGAATAAGTAAAAGCAGAAAACCGAAGCAAGGTGAAGGGGGTGGGTGAGCAAGAAGCATGATGAAAAGCAGAGGTTCAGCAAGCAAAGCAAGAGCGATATAGAAAGGGGAATCCCACGGCCGGCAAGATCCGGACCAAACCAGTAAGGGGCAGCTCTTCAGAGATGGGCATTTGCTTTAGAGAAAAAGTATCCTTCACATAGCCCCATATGATAATTAGCTACTTAAGGTTCATGCATATGGGCTGCATATCATGCACGTACTTAAAATTATGGGATGGAGGTGATGCATAAATGCACAAGGGCCCGAAGTAACTGAGCAACACATCTATCAATCAAAAGCCAGACACTGGCTAGAGATTAGGCAGCTTTGGGAAGAGAAGAAAAAAATACACCTGGAACCACCCAAACTACACCAAGCTGAGGCTGATCCCATTTTGCAGAGGTCAGCCCGCTCTCCTGCTCTGAGAGCGGAACACTGCGTGGAATACACTCATGTCACTTTGCTTGGCTATCTGTGTGTGTCTCATCCAATTCTTTGTTCGGGGCGCCAAGAGCCTGGAACTGAACAGCACCACCCAGTAACAGATGCATTAACCCAACTGCATAACTTGCAATTTCCTGAATGCATGCTGATTTTGCAGGCCGCCCAGACTCTGCCAGGGCTCTTCTTGCTGCCCCCAATGCCTTTCCTCCCACCTTCTTTGCCTGACTCCTGTTCTTCTGCCTTTCAAACGCCCCTTGGATGTTTCCTTCTGGGGAGGCTGTCTCTGTGTGCCCCCTAGCTGAGCTGATTTGGACGTTTCCTGCAGCATAGTGTAACTCCCCATCCTCTCCCCCTTCGGGTCTCTCCTATGCGTGAATTCCAGGCCTAACAGTGGAGGGGCCGTGTATTCACTGGTGACGTGGATGGACAGGCAGGTGGATGCATGAAGCTGAAAATGCAGTGGAAGAGCAAGGCTCAGAGAAGGACGTAGTCTTGCGGGGCGTAGAGCAGGGCAGGGCAGGGGCTCCGACCCCAGGCTCCAGACTCGCTGCCCAGTGACTCACCAGGCTCACCTCCCTCTCTCTGGAGCCCCTTGCTCTGAATTCTTAGCAAGCCAGATCCAAAAGGGCTCTCAGCTGAGGGAGGGGGGCCCCGGGGCTTCCTGGAGGAACATCTGGGGTCATGTCCGCCTCACCTGAGATACCAGGCCCCACCCTGGGGAGCTGGTGGCAATTTCTCCTGGCGCTCCAAGCCCCGCTCACAGGGTCCAGCAATGCAGCCAGCTGGCAAGGCACGCTCAGCTTGTTGGGGATGGAGACTGTGTCCTAGGCCAGGGCTTGGGGGGTGGGGGTAGGGGACACCGCTTACACTCATGGGTTGGTCTGTGATGGAGTGGTAGGCCTAGTGGGGGCTAGAGCCCAGGGCCAAATGATGACACAGAGGCACATGGAGAAGGCAGTGGGACAGCCCTGGACTCAGGGGCAGGAAACCCAAGGGCTACTTTAGGCCCCCCTCAGGGACCCCCAGGAGGCTGGGGGACAGGACAGGCTGGGGCACTGTCTCCTCTAGGCACCTTCAAGCTCGCAAGTTCTGTGGGTCCCTCAGCCATGGCCTGGGCCCAGGCGAGCGAGGCTCCTGCGCTCCCTGCTGTTTCTGCCTGACCTGCACTCACTTCCCCTTCTGGACACAGCCCCAGGTCTCCCTGAGGAATGCCCGCCTGTCCCCACTCCCAGCGATGACATAAGTCAGGGGCCAGGGGTTCTTTGTTAGCTCCAACCCAAGAGCAGGCACGTGGCCTGGCCAGCCAATTCATGTATTCTAGCCCTTGACCACCGTGACCCAGGCAGGCATGGGTGCATGGTCCAAGTTAGACCAGTAAGACTCGGCTCTGGTGTACACGGGATAACACTGCACAGGCTGATACACGCAGGCATGCACACACATGCTCACACAGGGCCAGTTTCATGAGCACGTGACCTCTGCAGGGCCCCATTCTCAGACTGTCGCCATCTTGACAGTCTTAAAATTTTTTAAGGGGCCATATATTTTTTTCTTTTTCTTTCTTTCTTTCTTTTTTTTTTTTTTTTTTTGGTTTGTTTTTTTTTTTTTTTGCCCTGCCATGGGTGCAATGGCATGATCATCCGCTCACTGCAACCCCCGCCTCCTGGGTTCAAGCGATTCTCCTGCCTCAGCTTCCCGAGTAGCTGAGATTATAGGCACGCGCCACCACCCCTGGTTAATTGTTTTGTATTTTTAGTAGAGACGGGGTTTCACCATGTTGGTCAGGCTAGTCTCAACTCCTGACCTCAGATGATCCGCCCACTTCGGCCTCCCAAAGTGCTGGGATTATAGGCATGAGCCACCGTGCCCAGCCTTTTATATTTTCATTTTGGGCTGGGCCCTGCAAATGATCTGTGCTGCACACACACACACACAGACACACATATTAATATATGTAAAAAATGGTGAAAACTGAGCAAAGACTATATTCTGGTCAACAGTACCGTACCACCAGCTGCTGGTTTTGATATTGAACTATAGCTGTCTAGGATATATCCATAGGGGGAAGCTGGAAGAAGGAACCACAGGACTCTTTGCACTATTTTTTGCAGCTTTCTGTTTATAACTATCTCAAAATAAAATGTTAAAAAAAAAAACCCTTCTCAATCCTGAGATTTAGCTTAGAATACTTGGAAAGAGGAGACCTCTTTTATTTTTGCCTAAGCAAAGGAGCTGTGATGCGATCCTGAGGCAGCCCCCGAGGGTAAAGAAACTGCCCGACGTGACTGTCAAGGAGTGAGCAAAGCTGTGAGAGGCAGAGGGAGACCAAGTCTTGGGGAACCTCTTTTGAGCCCCTGGATCGAACCGTGCCTGAAGTCCATACACCTTGGGTTTTTCAATTACATGAACGCTTTTGACTATCTGCTATTCTCAGTTACATGAACCACACATTCCCTGCTACGTTTAAGCCAATTTGAGTTACGTTTCTGCCACTTGCTCCTGAAATAGCCCTGACACATTTCAACCTCCAACCCCATTCTGGGAGAAGGACACTAAGGTGAGGAGAGGACATTAGTCAGAGGCCACACAACCTGTGTGCTTCCCAACCAGCCCTGCTGCCTCTCTTGAGGGTGGGACGGAGACATGGTGGGGAGGTGGGGGTCACTCACCTCAGGACAGCATAAAGAACAATGGTGAAGGCCAGGAAGATCATGGAGACCCCACAGCCTGCCTGGGAGATGCGTGTGAGGATCTGCACCGTGGACTGGTCCAAGATGGGTCGCTGTGGGTGACCCCGGAAGCAAGACCATGTCATTTGGAAGCCAGGCCCAGGTACCCCAAGACCAGGCAGCCCCCTCCCCTAGACAGGAGCTGGAAGACCCTGGGACAGCTGGGATCAGAGTAAAAGGGGCTGTTACCAGGAGCAGGGTGAAAAAGGTCAGGTGGTCACAACGGCATACGGTCCCCTCGGGTCCGACCTCCGTGGAGCAGCCCTCAGAAGCCCAGTCTCCAGTGGGCCCTGGAGAGGAGGCCAGGGGAACAGAGGGAAAAGGAATATAGAGAGCGGAGGGAAAGGGAGGGGACAGGAGGGGAACAAAGGGGAAGGGAATATATGGCAGGGAGGGGAGGGA